ACCACATCATAAAGATGTTCTGTTGTGGAAGTGCCACAGAAGTCCACTGAAGTCACTGTCATGATCATAAAAACAGTTTGTCGTGCATTTTGCTTTGTGAGATGGTGCATTGAGGGATGTGCATGATCTGTAACAATACTCAGACAGGCTGTGGTGGAGGTTATTTAGACCAGACTGCATTTTTCGATCTTGAGCTTTCCAGTGTTGCTGAACCTGTCTTCACTGCGACCTCACATTTCTGTTCTTTACTGATGTGAGTGGTACTCAACATGGTCTTCTGCTGTTTTGCCTGAATGAATGTGTGCATTTTGAGCTGTTTTTGTGCTCACCACAGATATAAAGAGTGGTTAACTGGGAGACGTTGGTATATAGTCACTGTCAAGATGTCCAACATGACAGCATTTCTGGTACTGCATGGAACAAGGATACCAAAAAGCCTGTGAAAGTTTGCTGTGCACAATGATCTGAGGGTGGTGTTATTAGCAAGCTGATTTTATGACTCCCCTACCACACCACTGGTCAACTCCTGGGTTAAACATTTGCAAATCTCTAAAATAGTTTTGAACTGTAATCTGTTGCTTCACAGACATACCTGTCATCATGCTCTTTTCTAGGTTACTTGTGTGCACTCATTCTGTGCAAACCACTGGAGTATGCAGCACAAGCTATTGTATACCACTGACGTACCACATGACTGTATTTCTGTAGAGCAAGAGACTATTTATTGTATTGTGATTGTATTGTACCGCAATACAACATGTACAATCCCAACACACAATGCTGCATTGTGTGCTTCCTCCTTAGGGGCAAAGGCATTTGCAGAATTTCATAGTTCTCTTTCTGCTTTTGCAGGTGGGCAGTCATATAGAAGAATAGTGGAGAGAGAGAGATTTGGGACATGCAGCTGAAACAGCTACTCTCACAACGTACTGGCATATTGTGTTAGGAGATGAATAAACATTTTTTTTTTTTCAGCAGACACAAGGGGGAGGCAATGTTTTCATAATTTGTGCAGGCTAAAGCAGCTTGGGTAGAGAGGCAAGAGTTGGGGTTCTGGGCTCTGGCAATGAAATGCTATTGTGACGGGCTTTATCTGCCTCAGCAAGGAATCGACTCATCCGTCTGGGCCTGCTCAGAAGCATCGGCTAGCATATGTGTGTGTCTGTATGTGTGTGTGATAGTGTTTTTGTGTGTGAGAGCATTGGTTGCTTGGGTTTTTGTGAAATCGTGGGAGGTACAGTATAATAGCCTCACACACGCTTGCACATACACACAAACACACACACACCGGTTTAGCAATAGATTACAATTTAGTAGCAGTCATATGGGCCAGCATACAGCATATGCTATATGGTAAGTGGTCTGCACTTATAAAAAGCTTTTCCACCTTAGTGGGAGTCAAAGCCCTTTACAATGTTTCCCATTCACATGAACGTTCACACACAAGTGTTTTACAATTCGTGGACAACCTGCTTCACCACCTCAGCCACAGCTGCCTGCAGTGTATAATGTAAGTAGGAGAACACCAGTAGTTTAGCTTCCATTAGTCAGAAATGAACGCATACAAAATTGGCAGTTCACTAAAACAGAACCATTTTGGTTCACAAATGTAAATTTGAACCATTCTGCATGTTTCCACTGATGAAAAGAGACAAAACTTGAAAAGCTGATGCCTGTTGAGAACCACAAAAAAGTCTGAAGTACAAACTGTGACACATTCATCAGCATTATATTAAAGTCATTCTATTTGTCTTCAAAATATCCATAACTGGCTTATATATCTCCACTGGATTAAAAAGAATATTTGCAATAAGGTGTTAACAGCTTGCAGGTAAATATTACAAGGTTTGGTTTGAGTAAAAAGTGGACCTGACAGAAAACCTTTGGGGCATTCTATTAACAACAGACAGCACATTTGAACTGAACCATTATCTTTCACATACACCTACCTGGTTACTAGTAAACCAGCCTTCTGCTTGGTTATATCAAGTAACCACAGCTGCTATGATCCATCATTCACAGCTGCCACTGGGGTAGAAATGATGCTATGCTGCTTTCAGAAATCCACACTGACAGTGTTAGCATGTTAATGCTCTCTCAACTGGATGCTCAGAAATGTTTGAAGAATTTTAGCCAGCACTGATAGAGTGGAAATGGGTCTGTAATTGTTTAGATTAGAACCAAAAGATGACCTATTGGGGAACTGGAAGAGAACTTAGAAAGTGTGTAAAAAAATGAATACCTGATTTTCGCAAACCTATGAGGCTGAAATGAAGCAAATACTAATAATAAGTTCTGCCCTGTTCAGCTGGGACGACGTACATCTTCGGCAAAGGAGGAGGCCTCATTACATTCAAGTGGCCAGCAAATGAGAGGCCGAGCACCAGGACGGACAGACTGACTGTGGGCTTCAGCACCTCCCTGAAGGACGGCATCCTGGTCAGAATAGACAGTGCTCCTGGTCTGGGGGACTATCTCATGCTGCACATAGTAAGTTGTCAAATACATTCTTGCTTCTTTTTAGTGAAGCACCAGTTTTCACCTCATTTTTCTTTCATTTTCTTTGTTATAGCACATTTACTGTTTGTAAGACAATAACTTAACTTATCTATTGGTTCATTTTGCTCCTCATTGTACCTTCATGCTTAGTGTAGCAACCCCCCACCCCACCACCATCTGCCGCTCTAGATGATTGGAGGCTGACCATAGGACAAGTCACAGTTCACTTTTTGGGCTGTTCTTAATCGTTCACTGTTCTGTCATTATGAAATACTGTTCAGGCTGTTTTCATTTAATCCTGACACAAGATACAGAACCAACTCAAGAACCAGAAGACAAATAAGATCAAAAATAAGAAAGAAACAGAACTTATTTGTCTTCTGATTCATCATCCTATTAACATACCAGGGCTGTGACTGTCAAAGTTTAAAGAGGTCTGAGTTTTCGACTGCATAAAACACAAGATGTTGTTGATTTCCAACCTCCCATTTCATTACAGAGAGCAAGATAAGACACTGGTATCAAAGAAAACAAACAGTTTCCCTGTGTTTTCTGTTTGACATCACAGCTGATACAGACAAAGAAATTGTTAGCATTATTAAGCAGTAATATTATACCAATAATATGTGTGTTTTGTTTTTTTTTTTCATTTCAGCAACAAGGCAAAATTGGGGTGACATTCAACATTGGCACAGTGGATATTGGTGTGCAGGAAAGCAGTACCCCAGTGAATGATGGGAAGTATCATGTTGTTCGTTTCACCAGGAATGGTGGCAACGCTACGCTACAGGTGGACAACTGGTCCATCAATGAACATTTCCCAACAGGTAAAACATTGATCAGTTAATCAATTGTGAAAGTGTAACAATTAAGAAGCTATAATAGCACCATGGGATCATGTTGTTATGATCCAGCTGCGAAGGTCACTGGACAGCATTTGCTTTTGTTTTCATCTTAAGTAACCTCAGCTTATAAAAAAAAAATGCTTTAACAGAAGCACATGCATGGACATGAAGTTAGAACAAGATGGAGTTTATCTGTCAGTGCCCTAAACATTTTGTAGGCACAGTAACAGTACAACTAACCCACTCAAACCAGCAACAGCTTTGTGGGTCACTATGTAATCTGTGAACTCTGTGGACCTCTGTTGGTCTCCAGCAGGAACTGCAACACACAGTCTGTGACATGACTTTCACTGAATTCATCCAACTGAGTAAAAAAATACTAAAAATCATAAGAATTGAAACTATAATAGGTTGCAGACAGATCATATAGGTTTAAAGTCATATTCATGCTTCAGATCTGCATATTAACTAATTTATGAATTTAGAATGATAATGACTGGAGTCAGAAATCTGCACTATGTCTTTCACTAGAGTTATGCTGTTTGTCAAAAATGTGTGTTGCTGCAAGCATGAGCTCTGACTATGCTCACTACAGACTGTACCTTAATGTCTTAGGGCTATTGCGGGCCAAAGGATCTGATCATGGATCTCTTTGGAACATGGGTTCTTACAGGAAGAGTTATAGTGAACCATGTTTATAATGACACTGTTGCAAATTAAAGGGAAACCCAACATAACGTGTGTTGGTAAGGTGTTGGGCCACCACGTGGCACCCAAACAGCTTCAGCGCACCATAACATTAACTCTCAAAGAACACCATTCTTTCAAACGATTTGGTGTTTTGAGAGTGGTGGTGGAGAAAACTGTCTAACACATCAGTTTAGGGGTTTCAGTTGGGCTTGAATCTGGTGACAGTGAAGCCCAAAACATCTGATTTATACCATTTTCATACTCATGGAAGCATAGATGGATGGAGGCACTGTCATCCTGAAAGAGACAACTCTTATCAGGCAGAAAAGTCTCATCATAAAATAAAGGTGATCACTCAGAAAAAACATTGTGTTGATTTGGAGTGACTCTTTCCTGAGTGGAACAACTGGACCCAAATCATGCCAACAAAACACCCTCCACACCATAACAGATCCACCGGATCTCCTCACTGTGGGGGTCAAGGGTTCAGGTTTTTTCTTTAATTTGCCACCCATCTGTGTGCTCACGCAACCCGCTTCTCTGTTGCCAGTAGAGGTTCGGTGTGTGTTTACAAATGAGAGAAAAGCAAAAGAAAGAGGGGAAAAGTTGACGCAAACTGCCTGTGATAATCCCCATCCTGCTGATCTCATCATTAACAGAAGTAGCATTTAGAAACAGCACAGCTTGGCAGAGGATCATTGCTTTCATTTGTGTATCCTCTCCCAGCTCCCACACTCCCCTGTTTCCCACTCTCCAAGGCCTGCTGTGCCTGCCAGCTACATTGCTGTTTTTTTGTTAATGCAACTTGCGTGGACAGACAGTAGAGACAGCATGAGCAGTAAAAACGACATGACTTGTAGCTTTTCATTTGATTCTTGGAATTGAGAAGGAAAATGCAAGAGAACTCTCAAAAGCTAACTTGTCTAGAGGACCAGACCATCTTGTCAACTTCAGATGTGTGTGGTGGACAGCTCACAGCAGGATTCTCCAGTTTCTGTGAGGAATATCTGATAGAACATAAAACATTATGGGAGAGTAATTGGAGAATGGTGTTAAATACAGATAGGGAAGATAATGCATATGGAATTAGTCTTAGGCTAGAATGAAAGGAAATGTAAGGGCAAATAAAACAAGGATGTAACTGGAAAAAGAACGTTCAAGGCTATAATGTGAGCAATATTTGATTAAAACATTGCTGGCTGTGAGCTGGCAAGCTGCTGACTGAGACTTGTGTGGTTAAATGAAGGTACTTCAATTTACATTGTATTGGCAAAGCAAGAATCTATCCTCGAGTCAGTGGAGGAGGAAACAGTATGGAAGTGACATGACAATCTCTAGTATTAGTATTAGTAGGCTAGTGTGTTAATATGAAATCAGTAGAGATGGTGAATTTCCCAAATGTCTTGAAAATATATTGTTCATAATTTATTTGTAAATTAATCAGTAAGGCCAATGTTAAACTTTTTGCGTGAGCGAGTGTGAAAGGATCAGTGGACATCTGTGTGCAGCCCAAAATGTGAACTCTACAAGGGAAATCGTGCAAGTTTAGCAGTAATTTTCATGTACAGTAGAAGCTGACATTGTGAACACGTCTGGATATATAAAGCCTTGCTTATACGTCCTGGTAGACCTTGTGCACACAGACAGCTGCAGACACCACGGACACGTAGTGGTTGTTGTTATACTACTTTTGTAGTCTGCTGGAGTCTTAGGGGATGTTGTTCTCTACAATACAGCATCTACATCTACACATCCCCTTGTATTGTTGCCACACAGACACAAGTTTAGGGTGGACATGTGTGGAAGAGATGCTTGGGGACTTCTGGAGATCACAAAATTTACATCAGACTGACCCTCATATAATCGCAGATGCAGAAAGTACAACAGTGATCTAATAGGAACAACTACACGTTGTCGCACTTGAGCCATGTGTATCAGCCCAAAACGCTAAGCATCTGTGCTGCCTCTGCTTCTGCACAGTGAAACTTGCTCATTGTTAACTGGCAGCATTAGCGAAAATGATGTGTCTGGCAATTCGACAATTTCTTGATTTGTTTCAACAGACCTAATTGTTTACTGAAATTTCCTCCATGTCTATGACAGACTGAAGAAAATAGTATTGTACATAATAATTGCAGAAGAAGAAGAAGATGTGATACAGAGTCTTATTAATTCATATTAAAATATGTTGAAGGTACAGAGACCTTTATCTTAACACTAAATAAATAAACGAACAGAACATATCAGTCCCTACAGGAGACTCTCTAATGAATAGAGCTCGTACAGACTTCAAGACGATTTCCATCATTTGCCTGTCCCAGACAAAAGCCCTCTAGTAGCACAGAATCCACACTTGTGCCCTTGCCCACCCGCCTACTCTATCACTTATTTCAGTGCTTGGGTTCAGTGCAACAGTTTTCAATGGGTGATCAGCACCCTGGAGTCCTGGTGTGTTTGAGACAAGTGTAACGGACAAATTGTTCTGCTGTGCTGGGTCTTTGAGTATAATGTTGTGCAGTTCACTGTGGCCTTTTGCATTGAAGGGGCATTCTAGTATTCAACTGTTTGGCAGTGTTTCCAGGTGCTTGACCTAAATGGGGATATGATGGAAACTGCAAGCCTCCTTCACCAAGCTGCAGCAGTAGAACAGCAAGGTGCTCAAAGACTAACGATAAGGGGAGGACACTCACGCTGTCATATCTCTGTGACCCTGTGTTGGTCTTCAGCAGCTCACCGTCTGGAACTGTCACCCACATGAGATGTTCTGGTTCTTCTGCTCAGTATTGCCCTGCTGCTCCTCTGTATGGAAAGGTCGTTGTTGCTTCATCCAAAATGAATGAGTAAACTGAGAGGACCAGTTCATGCAGATCACCAGATGTGTCCCTGGTGTGAGGACAGGGACAGATTAGCCATCCTCTGACCAAAACCAGCTATTGAGCTTTTATTTCTGGCAAGAAGTTTTGTCCTTCCCAGGCTGTGTGCCATCTTTCTTGATTCTTATGGTAAAACAATATGTTCTTAGGTTTAGTTTCATTGCTTTGCCATTCTCATTTTCAGCAGTTTTGGCTGTTCATTTAGGTGATGAACTGTTTGCCTTTCAATTTGAAAATGTTTGTTTCCTGGTTTTAAATTGTGCAGAGCATGCTGTCCACTAATTGCAGTGTTGGTCATCTAATCCCCACCTACTAAAGTGTCCTTCGGCAAGACACGGAACCCTCGGTTCTCTCTTGATGACACCTTGCACACCAGCTCTGTGGCTACTGGTGTGTTAGTGTGCGTATGAATGTGAAACAATGAAAAATATGACGCGCCTTCAGTACCATGTTGTGTAACTCCCCCTGTGACTCAACAGGTATGCTGTGCAGGCTCACAGAAAATAAATAAAACAAAGGTTAGATATGCAGAAGATTGTATTATTGTGATCTGCAGTGGCTCCACCATACACCTAATTAATATGAGTGAATGATGTGTGATATTACGTTTGTAACACTGATGATTGATTTAGTTTCGCCAGCAAAACACATCAAGTGAGAAAAAAACCTTGACTAAACATAAATCTCTTCTCGTCATAGCACATTTGCCACTTTCTTTACTTTTGCCCTACTGCATTATGCCATCAGCGGTGGCAGAATTGAACAATGGCATAACTTTCATGTTAGCGCTGTGTGCAACCAAGCAGCAAAAGAATAAGCAGAGCACTGATACCTTCAGAACATCTCCAAGATTACAAACATGTGTTGGATTTGTGTTGCAGTGAGAGGAATGTGTCATGTGAGTGTTGACCCAGACTGCCTGAACTTGCTTTTTTTGTATCTGACAGAGACATGAATGGGACAGAATACAAGCTGATACCTGTCAACAGTAGCGCAACAGTAAACCAACTTCTGAACAAGAGATATTTTGGGGTAATTTTACTACTTAGGACCCCCTCTGTGCTTTTGCTATTGAATGACATTTTAAAATAGGACTGTAATTATTAAAAAGTTTGTCTTTTTGTCTGTCGTTTACATTACCTTTTCGTTTTTATCAAAGCTTTCTTCGCTGACTGTGAACAGATTTAGTCACCAAAAGCACTTTGGTTAAAGTTACACGTTCATGTCTTTTACCATTCAGCAAGATTTATAAGTATCCTTATTTTAGAGCCTCCTCGAAACCTCTGTGTAGTTTTCAGTATCAGGACCATAAGTGCACATGCTGTCCAGTGAACTGTAGACAAAAATGTGACTAAACCTTTGTGTGCTGTGTATTGTGTGTTTTGCCTCCGTCACATTACAACAATACTCAAAGCTCAGATGTGTCCAGAAAAGTTTATTCTGAATCCTGTGATGCACACAAACTAAAGCGAGTACAGTGGCAACTGCTATGACTAATGTTTCCTTTTTGTTTTTTGTTTTTTTTCTTTCTCAGGGCTCATCCTTTTTGGTTCCTTTCCTGAGTTTTATTTAAATATATTTGAACAACAAAACAAAACAGATTTTTACTGAGATGACAGTGTTCAATGAAAACTGCTGTTTGCAGTAAATAAAGGAGAGTATGCATGTGATGTCACTGCAAATGTAGTCACCATGGTTACTATCAAGGACACAATCAAAAGCATTTGACATTGTTTTTTTCAACATAGAAAACACACACACACACACACATCCATCCATCCATTTTCTATACACCGCTTAATCCTTATTAGGGTCGCGGGGGGGCTGGAGCCTATCCCAGCCGACTCAGGGCGAAGGCAGGGGACACCCTGGACAGGTCGGCACACACACATACTAATAGTTTTCAATTGGAGTCCAGATCCTCATGTTTTCAAAGGTTCCAAAAACTTTAGGCTGGATGGTGGTGATATTTATATAAACTGATGCAAAGGCATCCAGAAAATCTCAATTTGATGTCGTGCTCAGAAAAAAACCCAACATGACTCACTGTCTTTGGTTTCGATGCAACATAGACTACATGTGTGCTTCTGATGGAGAAAGTGGTGCAAAAATACACATCAATGATTGAGGAAGGAAAAGTTTGTTTGAGTATTTCTCTGTGTAAATGTTCTATTTAATGAAGATTTAGAGGAAGCTGATGCTGTCAGGGAGGAACGTGATGATTTTATTTACATTAAAATGACATAGGAAGAAACAAAAGGGAAAAAACTGACTGTTAGAAGGAATTGTAGCGTGGACATTGTATAAATATTTCTGATTTTTGGTCAGAGTATACAGTAACCATAATCCTACCATGAAGAGAAGTCGTAGTGTTTGGTATGCCACTGCATGGTGGCATATTAAATGTGACATCTGTGGATACTCTCTATACAAAGTGAAGAGGAAAAGGGAGGAAATACTTAAATCAGCCAATAATGTGCCAGGAAGGCTTTTCGTTTTTTCGATGGGTTTTTCTTCCAAAAAACCAAAGATTTTGAGCCCTAGTTATCCTGTTACTAAAACACCTGCAATCAAAATGTAATTTTTTTACTAAATTCAATCTAACCTTTTGTAAATGTTTGTCAGAAAGCGATATTTCTCTCAGGTGACATGATCCTGATGATCAATAAATGTCTTTATAAATGTCTTCTTAAACTTTAAAGGGAACAGCGACATTGAACGCTATCAAATGGCCAATAAGAAAATCCCATTCAAATATACCAGACCAGTAGAAGAATGGCTACAAGAGAAAGGTAATTTCAAATAAACATATGTTTATGTCCTCACTGTTCTGATGAAATGTGAAACAGCTCATGTTCACTTCCAGAAGGAACGCATGCTCTAAGGACTAAATGAACTGTGTGATTTTAATGATTTAAAAACAACGATATCTGTAATACTGCATTAATGCATGTTATAACACAGTCATACACATTGAAATGCTTACGTTTAAAGTTATCATGCCAAAATGATGCTTTGTATTTACAACATTTATTTTTGGTATGAGCCTGAACATGAACGTAAACGGATGCATGCAAGTTTATGTGGGCAAAAAATAAAAATGGAATAAAATTACTAAGATGCTAAAAAACAATAAAAATTAACCAATAAATCAGAAAATAAATCAATGGATAATAAAAATCACTGTATAATAGTACAAGGACCAGTGCAAAATGAGAAGTCTACTCAGACTGTTTGGGGATTCTAAAGCTAACCCCACATGTTGTGTCATTTGTGTGGTGCGCTGAATTATGAACACACTTAGGCGGCAACATGACACATATTTATACAGCACTGAGCCAATCATGTTTACATCACTAATGTAACTAAACAGTGCTAAGACAAAAAAAGAATGAAACAACTTCCCTTGTTAAAATAAAAGTTGAAAAGGTGTCAAATAATCTGATGTGTCCAACGTTAACTGTTAGCCCACCAGTCTGATGTGTGTGTGGAGGTGTAATCTGGAGCAGCTTGAGGTCATTTTCTGCTGATTTAACCAAGGCGAACACAGCTGAGCCTTGTGTGATGGCACTGCCCTCCAGCGTCCTGCCCTTCAGTGCAGCACAGATCTGTGGCTGCAGATTTATCAACCTGCTGCATCTGTCTTGTTGCAGTTTAACCAGCTGTAGATACGTGGTGCAAGAATCATCGACATTTGTTTAATGCAAACTGTGAAGTGTTGTTTTTTTGATGCAGATTCAAATGCATCTAGAGTAAAACCACTGGCATTATTCCATGACCTCAGGTTTTTATATTGCTCTTGTATATAAAAATGATCAAATTGACTGCTGAGTCACTTTGCACCAGAAGGAGACTTCTATTCTCAGTGCAACATCTGAGACCCAGTTTCTACCATAATACTAACAACTTGGCAATAAACGATCACACTGGCACAGTCAGGAAAATACCAAACTGGTAAAGTGCAGCTTGAGCTGGTTGTTATGTCGCGTTACATAAAGTTCCCGTTTTAAAGTAGTTCTGCAGCTATTAAAAGGTCGAGTGAAACTTTCAACATAATTGAGTAACTTCCTGTGCAATATCACTGAAATGTTAAATGAATCAAAATTGTATCTTTTAATCATTATATTCATTTTAAATTGAATCAGTGTATAATTAAAAGCCAACAGGTCAGTTAGCTACACTGAATATATGGGCTCCAAAGTACAACCTCAGCAAAACAAACACGACTATTTACTTTATTAGTAACGTTGCTGTTTTGCTGTATTTTGGAACATTCAATATTTTGGTTATATTGTGCAGGTGTGTGCTCATTTCTATTGTATCCTCTATAATAAAATGTGCTTTTCCCTGTTGAAAATGTCTTACTCTGGATGTCTTCTCCAGGACGGCAGCTAACAATTTTCAACACTCAAGCAACGGTCGCAATTGGTGGTAGCGATCGCGGCAGACCCTTTCAGGGTCAACTGTCGGGCCTTTATTACAATGGCCTTAAGGTGTTGAACATGGCTGCTGAGGGCAACCCTAACATCAAGATTAATGGCAGTGTGAGGTTGGTAGGTGATGTGCCCAGTGTGGCAGGTTCAGCCAGGACCACAGCCATGCCTCCAGAGATGTCCACCACCTTTATAGAAACTACTACCATGATGTCCACCACGACCACACGGAAACACAGATCCTCCTCAACTGTACAGGTATGACCAGACTTCCAAACAACATATACAGGGAAATACACACAGACTAGATTCACATTCCTCTGTTTCTGTGTGGTTAAAATCCATTCCTAAAGTGTCAGTGGAAGAGATGGTGGACAAAATAGTGGCTTCAGATGAACTTTGCAATGTGAATATTTTAGATAGATTCGGGGCTGTGGACTTTGTCTCCCATTTCTTCTAATGGAAGCGTGATAAGAAAAAATCTTTTGATGCCAGTAAGACCAGAAGAATTACAAAACTGGTTCAGTGTACACATGGGCACCATATGTCCCTGCTATTTTCAGACAAACTTAAAAAATACGTACCTGTCCTTAAATTGTGGTGATGGCCGCTATCTTCTGACTGTGGAAAAAAAAAAGGCATGGGTGGGTAGATTCTACTGTGTACTGAATGACATACTTGGGAGTGACAGTCTGCATAAGGTACTTTGAGATATCAGCCTAATTGCTGTTGCAGATCCTCTTGAGGTGTCTTTGATTTGTGTTCGTTGCTAATGACAACTGAAAATGCTGCTGTTTCACATTAAAAGTCTTTTGTTGTTCGGCAGTTGCAGAAAAGTCATGCTTTGGTAGAATGAACCAAGTCTTACTCCCCCCATGTTACATGCAACCCCGTTGTCAGGACCCCTTGGTGTTGCATGTGAATGCAGTAGATCATCTTTGAATGCACAGGGTAGTTCAGTGAAAGCTGTAAGCATTGGTGATAGGTTCTCTGCTGTTGTCATCACTGTCACTAATTTTCAGACAAGAAATTAGTCTTGTAACATGTGGTTAATGTTGTAAAGGAGTGTATTTTACCCCAACAAGAAAGGACATCTTGTGCATACCTCTGAGACGCTAACTGCTTTGACAATCCACACTCTGAGAATGACGAGTCGGTAGAACTGCTCAGATTTTGTTTGTCATGCCTTGCCTTTTACTTATCATGTTTGTTGACAAAAAGTCTTAACTCAAGGTCCAATTAGGCTTTTAGACACAGTTGAACTTGTAATATAAAAGCTAAGTGGTGACGACCCGTCTTCCCAGAGCACAACATCTTAGAACAACAGAGAAAGGGACGGACTAAAGGTCGAGGTGACAAATAGACCTGCTGAGATTCTGATTTATTGGACACTGCTACATTGTTGTGAGACTTGCATGACTTACAGGATCTTAACAAGAAGTCATCACTTATCACAAACCATTCAACAGCCTAAAGACAATCAGAAAAACTTTCTCTACAACTTGCAGCCTCTTTTTTTCTTTTTAGTTCAACAACAATTTCTTTTTTATTCTGTTTTCTTTTCTTTTTGCTTGGAAGCTGGGGGAAAAAAAGACACAAACACCGAAAACAGACATGTGCTGTCTGTGACCATCAGACCAAAACCACTCACAGCATCCAGAGCTCAGGGGTCATCCACCTGGAGAAAGATCACTGAGGACATTCACACCTGACACCAGGGATCATCTCAGACCGCAGACAGAGGTTTCCATCTCCTCCCATATGACTAGTAAAATTCCCCAGCAGCTGATCAATCTCTGTGACAACTAAGCCATCTCACATCAACTGAGGGAAACTGTGTAAAAAAACTCAGTTCTGAAAAACAATGAACCCTGAGTTAAGATATTTTCGTCAAACTAGTGTTTCAGTGGTTAATAATGTTCACTTTCTAACTTGATTTGTGTATCTTCCCCCTGTCCTTGTGTGTCTTCTGTGTTTCTTGTTGTTTGTGTTTGACTTCTGATGACCACCGTTCTGCCCGTGAAGCATACAGGAGAGGACATGGTGTCATCTGCAGAGTGTTCAAGCGATGACGAAGACCTGGAGGAGTGTGAAAGCCAAGCAGGTGGGCTAGGTTAGTTTGCATTTGCTTGCTTTCTTTGTGCATTCACCCATCGGCATCAGAGGATCAAGGCATCCTCAAAGCATCACACCCCCATGGTTAGACAAAGTGTAACTTCATAAAACAGCCAATGTAGCAACAGTCAGAGTAGCAAACTGCACGACATGTAATCCAATCCAAGGAAAGCTGCGTTAACAAATACAAAGTTTACAGTCAAATTGAAAACTGTTGAATGTGTACATCAGTCATACATAGTTTGTTTAGCTTGTTGCTAGTTGACAACAGTACCATAGAAAGCCATTGATATCATGAGCTACACTTGCACATGGGGTCTTTCAAAGTGGTTAACATGGTCACCAATATACATACAAATGTTGTCTGCTGAAAGGAATAATAGGGCTTAGTACATGTCATCATAAGTGTGCTACATTTGTATGACGGTGAACCATGTTCTCTGCACTGATGCTGCAAAATGTTCCACGTCATGTTTGAGTCCATCGCTCCTGCCATTCAATGCTCCACTGATTTTCATTTTGAAACAATACATTTTGACAGTTTTTTTTTTTTGTTTTTAAAAATTTGTTTTCAGCTAAAATGAGTGTTGCCTAGATTACACTGTTGTTTCGTTTTGTTTTTTACTTTTTTTGTTTTCATTTGTGCTTTTCCAGATTTAGAGGCTTGCGTTGGTACATGTGATAGAGAACAGATATCATTGAATTTCTGTGTACAGGTTTTTCTTTTTTTTGGGTCATACTTTTGCTTTTAGGTGTACTTGTTATTCTGTCTTTTTTGTATATAATTATTAAAAAATTCTAAAATGTTGTGATAACTTCAGAGAATCAGTTTTGAAAGAATTTGGGAATTTCCCTGTTTTAACAACTTTTTATTTTTGTGCATAAGAACAGTCAGTCGTACCAAATACCAAGTGTCATACCAAAGAATAAAACACCTTTCTAAGGTGGATGATAGATTATTTTCTGAAGGGTTTTCAGTTTCAGTAGGACGGTTTAGTTTTGTAGCCCATTAAGAAAATATCTTTAAAACTGAGCTTGTGGATTTTTATATCCTGTCAGAATATTAGATCATTTATTTTTAAAACAGTTAGGGGCTCAGATTGATGTCAGGGAGGAAAAATGATGGTTTGCTATTCTGCAAAAAAAAAAAAAAAAAGCTGAGCTTGTGGGACTTGCACTCTATGACATCCCATAAGACAAGATGCATTTAGCTTAATCTCAGCAGTAGAAATAAGATTAAGTTGTTGTTTTTTTTTAAGTAAAGTGTTTTGTATAGTAACTCCTAATCTAACTGTAAAGAATAATATTCTATAAACACTGAGATGCATGACTGGTGAGGACTTTAGTGTTATTCTGCTTTTTGAAGGTCATTCCCAAATTTTTTCAAAGAGTATGTGAAAGATTGTTGTGGAAATGGGTTAAAAACTGTGCTGTGAAGCCTGAGATCCATGGGGATTTGTGAAGAAAGACAAAGACAGGGCCCCAGTCATCCAATCATGTGTTTACACAGAAATTCACACCATTCTAACCCTAACATCACTTTAACGTTGACAGCTGCATGCTTTGATTTTCAATTTCCTTTGCTCTTTTTGGAAGTCAATGCTATTTCCCGTTGTTTTGACTTTTTTCTAAATTTTGTTACCAAGATATCATTCCCGTCTATTCGCCAACTGTCCAAAAATGCATTTTTGTATTTTGGCCTCATCATGTGTGGCATGACATTTTGGTGGATGCTAACTGTTTCCACATATTTTCTGGGGTACCATGTTGCTTTGTACCCTGCAGCTTTAAAAGAAAATATCCCTGTTCTTTTTACAGAGTTAATACAAAGGCAAAAAAAAAAAAAGAAAAAAAAAAAAACATTCTTGCCATCAGCTTCTTCTTCCTGAACAGCAGAAGTTCAATGTGTAATTTGCAATATGGTCCAATTCGTTGCTGGGTCTTGCTATCGTTTCCCTTCTCCTAATCCCTGTGGCTTGACTGCATTCAAATCGATTTTAGAGTAGATGGCATAAAAAGATTTTTTTCTTTTTTTTTCTTTTTTTTTTTTTGCCACAAATTCAGATATTTTCCACATTAATTTTCTTCTTAAGCAATCATTGATATCAAACTCTTCAAATCATCCTGTTCAGGGTGACCTTTGATCATTTCTTTGCATGCTTTTTGACTGATCCTTGACATCCCCCCGCATTTAGACTGTTCTGTCTGCATTTGTGTTAAAGTTGTAAGCCATTTTTGCGGTCGCAGCGTCATCAAATGTCGTCTATCTTACCCCACACTGTCTTTATTTTGTCAGTGTGGCTGTTGTCTGTCTGGTTTGTCTGGAGAAGTTATCAAGTGATTCTGTTCTCTGTTGTAGACCTTTTGTTCTCCTTTCCGTTCAATTAATTTCATAAGATGGCAATTAAAAAGGGTTCTTAAATGATTTATATTGTAAACTATTCCATATTTACTGAGCAAGTAACCAGGTTCTAGGTTTCTTTTTTTATTTGAGGTCATAGATATTTTTGCTCATCAAAAATGATGAACTACACCCCAGAACAAATAATAAACAATTCAATCATTTACCACAAATGATAAATTTACCTTCTGTAAGCTGTCACTGTCACTCTCACAATACAAACCTGCTAATTAATGATGAGATGGTTGTCGAGTAAACGTCTAATAGACCCACTCCATTTTTTAGTTCTTAGTCTTTTCCTCACAATTCAGAACTTTAGCTGGCATTACGCAAACACAAAATCCTAAAAATCATACAGATGTCTCACCACACAGTGAAAACAGTATCACAGGAGTCGCTTGGGAAGGTGTGAAACTCAACTTTACCACAGCATTCAAAGAGTGCAAGTATCAGAGGAGACACAGTATCTTTGGCCCGTGCTGAAAATAGATGAGAATAGAATAGAATAGAAAAATACTTTAATTATCCAGGCCTGGAAAATTATTGAAATTATTGGGTGATGAAGGAAATGATGGAGCGCTGGCCCTTGACTCAAAGCCTAAGAAGTGAAGGTATAGTCTTGGCCTCTATGTCTTTGTAGATTCCCAGTTATCCAGGTTGAGGTAATCCTAACAATTTCATTAGAAGCAACTGGACTTGAAGACATTTCACCTCTGAACTAAGAGGCATTGATGCATCTTGGATGAACCGTTCAGTTGCCTTCTGCTGAAGCTCTTTGGATAGTCTTGCCCAAAATCTGAAAAATGATGTGGCGAAGGCAGATTGGCTCAAAACAAAGATGGCTAATTTTCTTTGTTGTTGCATTAAATGTTGAGTCTGTTACAGATGTGAGAGCAAATATAAGTAACTATTGTTTTAATGTATGTAATTAAGATGTGATATACTGCAAAGATTCCTTTGCTTGTGGAAAACAATGTGCTCAGATAGCCTTTACCTCTCCTCATGCGTCTCCTCTCCACACCAAGAACCAGCTTGAGGATCTTTCTGCTGCCTTGCTCATGTTCTTGATGACTCGACTCCTTTCAGTTCAACCTCAGTGAGCATGTATGCTGTCTTCTAGTCCTGCTTCTTGCAGTCGATAACCATCCTTCAAATGTTCCTCTTCTCATGCACTTCTTTTTTGCAATCCTCCTGTGGACTGTCGGGTCCACCATGGTGATGTTCTTGGTGGTTTAACAATCTGCTGTGGGAACTTCAAAGGGCCCTCCAGGTCTACAGATAACTGCTAAGCTTGTGGTGTTGCCAGCACGCCCAAAGGCACTCTGGTCCTGCACGTGGCCATTCACCTTGTTTCACAAAGGTGATCCTCTGTGTGGAGGGTGGACTTGTCTGCAGCTGTTGATTCTGATGGCTTCTGTAGTTGGGTTCAGCCCTCGGTTGCGGTGCCAGGTGTAGTGGCCCTGCTCCAGGACTTTCAATCATCAGCTTAAGATTTGCTCCTCCTTCTGGCACAGTTCAGGGAGACGTAGGGGACTGGGAAAGACATCATACACTGTCTGCTTCAGGAACAGGATGGGGCTGCCAGACATCTGCCCGAGGGATTTTCCAACCCATGGCCTGCTCCCATTTTATTCAGGCTCCCTGCTGGTTCATACCCACAACTGTACTAGCACTGACCTCACTTCCTCCTGAACCAACCTCTGTGTTGCCTTTCCCTTGTCCTTCAGTAGGGATCATCTTCAGGCCAGCTGTTCCACCAGAACTCTACACTTCCTCCCTCAATTGCTTCTTGGGCCACCTGTCAGTCACTCAAGTCCTCACACATCATCACCAAGCCTGCTTGAATCACCATAAAACTTGCCTTCCAGGGACTTTAAAGAAGAACTTTTACACTTCAGCTGAGCAGTGCCGGTGCTGGTCGATCACTGTTCTACACTGAAGGTGTCACACTCCTCTGACAGAACGGATCCGCTTTTATTTTTCAATCCAGCTGCCACAACCACTTCCATGTAGACACAATGTAAGACTCTCAGATTATGACCTGCGAGACCAGCGAGTGTTCTAAATGTTGAGCGTTTGGACACTGTAGTATCACACAGATGCTATTCCATTATGATTAAAATAAGGCTCCTTCTGCTTGACCATCTCTGATTTGCTTGAAACGTGTTATGAATATTTAGAGTGGTATCTGTGGAATTTTAGCTTCATACATCAGATACTTTCTGAGATATATTTTTTCAAATCTGTTGTTGGTCCACTTTCTGCACATTTTCTTGGGCATTAATATTTGAGGCTGTGTTTGAATTAAAATGTCTGGTGTCAAGGTGAAAAGTTTTATTTTTGAGCACACTTGAAAGACAGATCATGCAGAAGCCAAGTACAGATATTTTCTGAACTATATGTAGCTGCATGTCACAATGACACTAAACAAAACATGTACAATACTTTTATATGAAATATCGGTCACAAATATGAAAACAGTTATTTCCGCAGGACTTTTATAACTGATTGAGCAGTTATGATAAGTTGTACCGTAAAAAACGAAAATATTGCTATTCTTCTCCCTCTCCCTCTCTCTCGCTCTCTCT